CATAGGTTTTAAGTACAACATTTTTTCTTCTCACGTCACGGAATATTACTACCCAAAGTCACGGAATAGAGTATAAAGGCACCAAACCAATCCAATTGAAATATGTGCTCTGACTCCAGTGCAGCTCTGGAGAGTATAAACAACTTCTCTTCAGAATGTCGTCAGGATATTTTACATGACATTTTACAAAGCATGTTTAGGTTAGTTCATCTGGGAATTGTTGTTCAATTTGTGTGGGTTCCAGCGCATGTGGGTATTAGAGGGAATGAAGTAGTGGATCAACTGGCAAAATGTGGTTTGAAAGCAAACCAGATTGATATTATGGTACCCATCAGTAGAGCAGAAGGCAAATCTTTTACAAAAGTGGTTATCAAGCAACAATGGCAAAAACTATGGGACAGTAACACCAAAGGAAGACATTTATATCAGATACAAAGGGAAGTAGGAACAGGAAGCACGTGGGGGAGTAGTAGAAGAGAGCAGAGCATTAACAGCAGGATAACATTGGGACACTCTGGACTAAACTCATCACTGCATCTGATTGGAAAACATCCAAATGGCAATTGTGATGGTTGCCAACAACCAGAGACAATACATCATGTATTTTTTAGCTGCCCGGATTATAACAGACAAAGATTCATTCTGAAAACTGCACTGGAACAACTCAACATCAAGGACATGGATTTCAAGGCAATATTTGAAAGTAAATCAAGAAATTAAGCAAACAAGCTGATCTTCAAATTCCTCAAAAGCACTGGTCTGAGGACAAGGATTTAGTATGAACATTTAATAACACAACAGTAGGTGGCGATATATGCTCCAAGTGGAAGCGATTCGCCATTAAAGAAAAGAAGAAGAAGAAGAAGAAGAATTGAAATATGCAGAACAAAACCTGCAAAAAACATATTTTAACGAACAAAACAAATCCAAACCCTTGCGTTAGAGAAAAGTTGTTATTTTGAATATTGTTCAAAGATTAATAGACAAATGTCGTATATTTCGATATTCACCTTTTCATTGTACAAATAAAACGAAAGATATCTGTCTGACTAAAAGTTCTCCAAGTGCAGAATGAACTTCTGAGCTGAGATTCCAGACAGAAGCTCCTTCACGGCTGAGCGCTCGGTGAATGGAAGCAGAGGAAGTGGCAGATTTAAAGAGAGGAGACAATATTAATGCTTCACCTCACCGCGGTGCATTAGAGGGGCGTCGTAAATCACAGACTCTGAGTTATGCTGCCCACGCCCACCCTGTGACGGGGATAATATTAGGCTTTCTGGATGGCTGGGCGGGACGCACACACATACCATGTATACATCACTTCAGGGGACATTACATTGACTTATATGCATTACCTGGAGACTTATCCTAACCAACCCCTATCCTCTGAAGAAGCAACATTATTTTGTCAGGATTTTTTTCTCTCCGCTGTACAATACTACCCTGGTATTTATTGCAACATTTTAAACTATTTATGTTTCATCTATGCTTTTAGATTCTTGATTTTAACATTAAAGGACTATTTTACTCGCCTGATGAACCCTACCTGGTGAAAACGTTGGGAACTCTTTCCCCTCGATGAATTTATGCTATATTGCCTCTTTTAAACTCATTTCATCTTATCTTTTAATACTTTGTATTAGAGTATATCTGTTTTTATCAGCACATGCTTTTTAAACAAACATTTCGAATCCAGCCCAGTTAGCCCACCTGTTTAGCATGCTTGTTAGCTTGAGAACCCTCCATTGCACCACAGGACGTCGCGGCCCTGCCGGGCTTCCTCCAGAACCACTCTGACCTACTGAAACTACAGGACGTGTTGGGTACTGCCAGAACTCCCCTAGCTATCAAGCTAGCCCTTCTGTGAACCGGGTCACGTGGATATCCTCCTTTCTGGCTCTTTGATCACCAACGTCGCGGCCCTGCCGGGCTTCCTTTTATTTTTTCCATAGATGTGGACTTGTTTTGGACGCCGTTAAGAAAGCTCTTCTGTCCTCCCCTGAGCCTACCCGCCCTGACTCTTATATCCTCCAGTTTTTAGAAATCACGCTTTTAAGAAACGATTTCCAGTTCAATGCCCCATGGGACGTAAGTACTCACCAGCCTACGCAGACATATATTTAGCGAACTGGGAGCAGTCTGCTATGCGCAAATGTCCAACCCCTTCCACTCCTTTATCTTCGTTATCTGGACAATGTCTTCGGACTTTGGGAGGGCTCCGAAGCATCCTTAATAGCCACCACAAATAAAATTAAAATATACACTTAGCCTGCAACAGATTCCCTTTCTAGATACAGTGGTCTTCTTTACAAATGAGAACGAAGGACATAAACGTCTATCTACTAAAGTTTATTTTAAAGACACTCTTTATTATTTAAAAGCAGCTATCATCCCAAACATACTTATCGCTCATCATTAACTCACAGTTACCTCCCGGTATGGCCAGGAAAGCACAGTTTTTTAACTTCATTCATAAAACCAGCAGCCCCCAGCAGTCACACTCTAAAACTGGTGGAAGAAAACACGAGAATGTGGATGCAGCACAACTTGGACATCCATAAGACCCACTATACTGACCTTCTTTGGGACCTTAGTTTTAGCTTGACCCCTTTTAGGTTAGATGCGTTTGACAGGGCTATCATTTGGGCCCGTAAACATTATCACAACAAACTCACTCCCTCGTCCATTTCAGCCTTACACTCCCTTCTGAACCCCTCCCATCTACCCCCCATTTTGACATCACCAACCCCACCTCGTTTCCGCCCTTACCACTGCCCCAGAGACCTCGCAGATTTCCTCATGTCCCCCNCATGGCAACCATGGCAACCATGCGCAGGAAGTCTTCTTCGCTGCTTTTGTGGGAGACTACGAGACGCTGTAGTACATATGTCAGGCCTGTAAGTGGCGCTGTAGTCTCCCACAAAAGCAGCGAAGAAGACTTCCTGCGCATGGTTGCCATGGTTGCCATGCTGTTTATTCTCCGCTGTGGCTATTTTTCTCCCTCCCCGAGGCAAGCGTTTGCTCCTGTAATTCAATGCAATCCCTCCCGTCGAGGCAAGCGCTGTAAATCTCTCCGGTAGTCCACCAGCAGATGACAAACACCCGCCTCTCCGCCTCTTCCAATGAACGAGGGGACCGTGCGGCAGAGTTTCAGTTAGATTTTTTTCCGCCGTTAAAGTTTAAATCTTCCGGACAAAATTAGAAAAGTGCCGGTCAAAGGTCTTTTTTGTTATTTATTGAGCTTTAAAACAAATTACTAACGACTCTATATAATCATTTAAGAATAAAACACGGAGGACGGAGCCTCTCTTTTCCTTCCTCTCTTCTGAGAGCCCAGCAGCTGATCAGAGCACGCTCCCCTCTCCTGCAGGGGGGCCTGGTCAGCTGCAGCTCATTTGCATTCAAGCTACGTCACAGAATCAGCCCTTGCAAAAACAGGTCTGGAATAGAGCAAATAGAGCAAAATGAGGCATGGCTAAAATGTATGATCTGTTTGGTATTTTGAAAAAAATACTTCCCAGACATGTTTTATATAGGTATGGTCCTACAATATATTTTTCAAATATAGCATGATAGGTCCACTTTAAACCACCTCCACGACCCAGAAGCCTCAAAGGGACTATATTTGTTGTGCTCTAAGTTATATTCATGAACTATACAGTAGGTGGAACTCCACGGAGATGTGACCTGATAACTGCGGATAGGGATGATAACCTTGAGGTCTGGCAGGCTGATGTCTCCAGGCAGCGTGCCCCTGCTCCTTTGGACAGATGACACACTGTGCGTCGGTGTCCGCTGCCTGCTGTGCTGCTGGCCTAAAGATCATCTGCTGGAGATGTGGCCTCACGACAGGAGCGAGGCGCACACAGCGCAGCGGTGTCAGTGTATTTACGAGTCAAGAAAAAAAGACTGCTTGACCATTCAGACGGAATGGAAAGGAAAGGGAATTGCAAAAGCAGAGAAATTAAGAGAGTCATAAAGTGCTTTTCTTGCTATAGCTGTTGTCGTGTCTTTGGTCTCTATGCCGGCTTTGTTGGCAGACTGCAGCCGGTTCATAGAGATAAGGTTGTGCGAGAAATGGCTAGAAATATGACTGAACAAAGCTGTAAGGACTGTTTTTTTCAGGGAATTTGCATAATACCCAATCACGTAATATGAATCGTTATATAGGATCTGTATATGTCTGAATGTGTGCCAGAATCTGCTGTTGCTGCAAGTTGTATGTCCCTTTACGCTATCTGTTAACCATACAACGGACAATGAAGAAAGAGAGATTGAAAAGAAGCTTATTTGCAACTGCATTGTCCGTGGCTTAATGAAATACAAGCAGTGTGCTTTATTTTCATTAATAACCTTCATGTTCATTCTCGCCAGTTGAACATTGGTGAAGAGTTAAGCCATTCTTATTTCAGCCTGCGCTACGTGCAATCTATCCCACCAGAAACAGGGCTGCATAATTCATTTTGTGCTATGTGAATTGACCATGGTGTTTCTGAGCGTCCTGTTAAATGAAAATATTTCACGTGTAAATTAATCATTAGCAGGACTTATTCTCCATTCTCCTGCTACAATAATGATCTCTTTCTAGCGCTGGCCTGGATGAATCTTTCATTGTCTTTATCTTTAAATGAGTTGGCACAGACGTTCAAGGAGACACGGGCCGTGGTGTGTTTCACCACACTGTCAAAGTTAACATGTGGCTGAGCTAAGTGCCATAATTTAATTGATGCCAAGCGCAATAACATCACCCGCTGATCTTTTAATAATATGGAGATTCGTGTCCTTTCACTTCATTATTATATTGCCTTCTCAACATGCAAATGTAAATGTACAACCGCTTCCACATTTGCACACAGAGTCTAGACTCTAGACAATATTTCAGGGCTCTTGCAGACTTTGGAATGCTATTTTAGATTGTAATAAGATGGCCTTTAACCTTTGGATTCAAGCTAAAACCTCTCTAGAATAAATTAGCAGCGGCCTCTCAGTTATTGCATAACATGGTTACTGTGTGCAGGTCTAATCCTCTGGGTCTCTCCTTCTCTCTCTCTCCAGGTTTCTCTATTCTGCAGGCCATCATGGAGGCAGCAGTAGCTAACAACTGGCAGGTGACCGCTCGCTCCGTTAGCGGCACAACCGACGCATCTGAGTTCAAGCGCATCATTGAGGAGATGGATAGGAGGCAGGAGAAGCGCTTTGTGATTGACTGCGAGGTGGACAGGATCAACACCATACTGGAACAGGTGAGCCTCGCAGTCACCGTGGGAACGCCTGAACATGATATAACCAAACGCCTACGCTGTCCATCGATTCTAGCTCTCTTGTTTATTCCTGCTTTAGTCACATACTCACCAAGCATATTTAATGTACACACTGACAAATATCAAATCCACACTCCACTATTGAACAGTTCTGGTGTTCTTGATTTATGTATAACAAAAACTGGGTGAGTGGAGTATGAAGACAAGGGCGCTAACGATGCAACGAGGATCTAACAAAAGATGCTACTGAGTTGCATTGTGGGAAATGTGATCCATTATTCTTTTTAAGCTGCTCTAATAATTTTCCCCATAAACAATGGATACATTGTGTTACTCTCAAATGTGTAGATCATAGTGAATAAACCCACAAAGAATTACTGTAGCACCTTGTGGTTTTAGGGCCAGCAGCTTCATTATTTTGATTCACTTTCACCGCCCTTATTAGCGTTGCTTTTGTCCGTCGAGGCAGCTGTTTTCAGAATCTATAAAACCCTGGTTTACACTACCTGCCCAGCTCAAATTGGCACACTGTCAAAGTTGGCGACTATAGCCGGTGAACATAGTGGAGCGTTTAGCAACTTGAGAGCCACATAATTGCCTCAGCATTTCGTGGTATCAAAAGGAGCAACAAAGGGTGTATATATTAGTGTATTTGAATAAATTGTGACTCCAAATAAATGATAATGTTACACCTCAGCTACACTAAAAAATACAGTCCATACATGTTTTTTACATGCGAGTCCCCTTACTGGAATTGTTACATGTCTCTTTGATTTAAGAAAACCATTCATCATTTAATAGGTCTTTTCACAGCAGACATTTTGACTTGTCAGAGAAGGACCAGAAACACGTGTGATGGCTCCGTTCTTTTCAAGTGTCTCAGTGAGTGACAGTTAATCAAAGCAGCTAAATGGATGTCAGCCACCATTCATTTGATTATTTAAACCTAATGCTGTAACTTGTCTGTGTTTTTTCTGTAAAAGAAGCCTATTCTATATCTCCTAATGTCTAGCTTATATTGAATTTTGTTGTTTTTTGTGTAAGCACATTAAGGATAAACTGTGTCGAGTTGTAATATGACGCACAGCGGTAATCCTATAGCTGTTGGAGAGGCTATGTTAGGTGTTGTGTGTTTGCTAAGGTTGAATCCGGCTTGTTTAAAAATCAGTGCATGTTGAAGCTTCCCGAGAGCCTGAGGCTGAGAGGTCCGAATGTGAGCAGGCATTTGGAAAGACCACTGGATGATGCATTCTTTGTAATCCTCTTCTAACAGCCCCAAACCCCTCCTTTCCTCCATCACGTCCATTGCCTGAGGAGGAAATGAAAGGTCCACCAGCCCTTGTAGTAGGGGAAAACACAATTACCATGAATAGATGAGTGGCTATTATGCCAGGCATCTCCTCTGTTGGGCTGCCCCGCTCCACCCTGCTCCGCTGTGCTTTCTGCTCATAAGCAATCAGATCCTGTTTGGATTCTGCTCTTTAACAATCATTTAGATATTTGCTTATTTGTGCCTCGCAATATCCCCTCAATAAGTGTTGGATTTCACTTATCTATCTTGTATGAAGCTAATTTGATCCCAGAGTGGTAGTTTAAAGCAGAATAGCTTTTAGTATTAATTTGCTGTGTCTAATTTAATTGTTGTGCTGGAAATGTCCCACCAGTTACTATTGAGGGACTACAGTATACTGAAATATATTTGCTTTTTGTGTGAAGATGATGCATCGGCTTTTAAGAAAAGCTTAGAATATTAATTACAAATCACATGTGAGGCATATTAATGGGTACGTCTTTAATTGCATTTCCCCTCGTCTTGCAAACAAAATAAGGATGCACTGCAATAATCCGTTTGATGTTCTTCTTTCTTTTTTCCCATTCATTATTTGTTATTTTTTTCTTCTAGAGGGAGCTCTTTCCCTTCCTTTACCTCAAACCATCACCATCATACTTTCTTTTCATGCCTTAACTTTTTTTTAGCTGGGTTTTTTCCAGCAGCTAACCTTCAAAGCAGCAGTGTGCACAATTTGGTCTCTTGTTTCAGCGACAACCTCAGCGTGGGATTTGTGTTGTTGTTGGAGCTAATTGAAATAATCTGGCTAGCTCTGGCAATATGGATGAGTCACATGCATTCATGTGAGCTGCTGGACTCTACTCTGCAGCCACCCCCCTATTGGGCCGTACCGTTATACATTGAAGCAGGGATTGACTGTCTCCTATGAGGGCAATCACACCAAAAATTGCTCCCACTGTCAGCTATGTGGAGACCCGCTGCTTCTGCCTGCTGCTGGGCTTCTATTAACCAATGATTGATGGATGGAGTTTCATATATGGCAGAAGTGAGGGTTTGAACAGAACCTGTGTGCAGACGCCAGTGTCTGTGTGTCGCAATGTCGATGTGTCACTTCAATCTGTCAAGGTCGCTGCTGTTGAGAGAGGATCATGAGGCAGGACAGATCCAGCCAGATGATTGCTGGGGGAAATGGGGAATCAGCTCAGTGGCTTAGTTTTATGATTTCAGTCAAAGTAATCCAAATACCGAATGAATGTCTTTATACCAGGCAATGAAGTTCATGGAGTGTAGAGCTATCTTGAATGGGCGAGTGTCGAGGATCCACAATTTGGTTCAATTGTTGCACACAAAGCAAATCGTGCTGCTCTTCATTAGCACCACTTTTGATCCAGCGGCTGCTAATGCTTTAGTCCTGCTGGGCCTTTGATGCTCTACTACAGTTGTTAACCACACCGTTAGAGTGTTTCAACATTTCTACGATGTACCTACATATTTAAAAGGACAACCAGTGGTAGTGGTACATTAAACACAATTCTACACTCGAGAAAAGAAAATGCTGCAAACAAATGGTTGTTTTCATTGTCGTCAAGTCTATTTCTTATTTTGGTTGTTTGGTTTGTAAAATGTCAGAAATTAGTGAAACATGTTGATCAGAGTTTCCTAAAGCCCATTGGACGTCCTTCAAAGTGTCTTTTTTCAACTCAAAGTAATTTGGATTACTGTAAAATATACAAATTGAGAAGCTGGAAACTATTTTTATTTTGTTAACCTTAAAAATCTACTCAAACTGATTTCCTATATATATTGATTATTAAACAACAACAAAAAAATTAAAAATACAGATATTTATAAGATATTTAAAGCAGTTCGATATCACTCCACTGCAACCTGCTAATCATTAAAAGCAGATTATATTTTGATACTTGTATACGTATTAATTGCCTTTGTCTCACTAGTATAGTATTATTATATACATTTAGTAATCTTACACTGTAATACTTTGATGTAAGAAATTATCTGAGTTCTTCTGTAGAGTTTTATCATGGGGGACTAATAATATAAGGAGCTTTACGTCAAAGCCAGGTGTGTCAAACTCAAGCCCCGGGGGCCAAATCCGGCCCGCGACTTCATCTTGTGTGGCCCGCAAGAGCTTGCAAAGAATATAATACGTTTATTATACGGTTACATGCCACTTTACAGTATATCTATATATGTTCATTTTAATTAATTTCTTATTTTATAGTTATTTATCTTTTATTTTTGTTATCTTTGATTTATCCTTAATTTTATTAATCTGTGTGAATCTGTCCTGTTTTTCAATCTTACCCTGTTGCTGTTAAACAACTGAATGTCCCCACGGGGATTAATAAAGGTCCATCTTATCTGATCTTATTTTACAGAAGCATGTTGCCCACAAACTATATGTCCCACAATGCATCTCATTTTGTGACATGCGCACTGAAGAGACTTGCAATTATTTGCCCTAGACTTCTGCTTTCAGACGTAGTTAATTATGAAGTTATTACCCTATCCAATAAAAATCCAATGCAGAGGCAATAATATATAATACATTATTTCATATATATTATGTATTTATATATGTATATTTATATAGTTACAACCGGCCCTTTGAGTGCAACCATAATGCTAATGTGGCCCAAGCCATCCCCAAGCGGCCGTTTGAGGAACTGTAGTTGTTGGCACCTCCATGCCATCTTCATTTTTCAGCCCCAGTGGTTGCTGCTTTATTAACACACAGAATCACTAGATGCACCTCCTCTACAATCCCTGGCACACTCAGCTGAATGTCACTTTTATTAGCTTCATTTATCACCTGACATGATGTAGAAACATGGTCAGGAATGTATTTGCATACTGCTGCATCAGGTGCAGTGTTGTTTGCTCGTATACGAGCAGAGTGTGTCTCCCTACACATTTGTTTTTGGTGCTGAGGAGAATGCTACACCCGCGCTATTATCATTTCATGCTGTAACAACCACTCAGGATTTATCACCCACAGGACTTTTCCATCAATATACTGCACTGCAGATAAATTAACCCAATAGCAATCCTTCCCTTACGACAAAAACGGGAGAGCCTCTGCCAGCTGTGGTCACTGAATCATATCCAACTCATGTGTTTCATTCGAACAAGCTAGGTTTATGATATTAAAAACTAAAACTACAGTATGACAAATAAGATAATGATCTTAGTATTACTTCCACTTGTTGTAATGACAATTTTCCAGAATGTATGTCGATTTGCTGAGTGCCTGCATGTGTGTTTAACAGCACATATGCTCATGACCAATCTGATCCATCTATGAGATATCCCATATAGCATGATGCCTGCCTTTATGCACCTTCCTGGCTCTCTTCCCTTTGGGGATTTCTTTGCTGGAGTCTGCTCAGAGGCAACAACCTGCTCATCACTAGTGTAAAGAGAGGCAGGCGAAGGGAAAAAAGGATGGCGTCTGGGACAGGCCCAGGGCACGCAAGCTGTTCAAAGACAGTCAGGCAGTGAGCGCTCTGCCAGACGAGGAACTGCATTTTCATGGAGGAAAAAGAAAAACAACTGAGAATGATTCAGAGAGAATACATCTGGGGATTTGTTAGGACAACATTCTGCCGCCTGCAGTCGCATGAAGGGTGGCCATATTGCCTCCCCATGGACAATTGGAGATTCTCCATAT